GTGGAGCAAATGGGGAAAATTCGGCGGAATTCGAAGGAAAAACAGGCATACGATCAACAGGGGTCCGCAAAAAAGCAGACAACGATAGGTTTAAAGGTGAAAAGTGGTGGAATTGTGTCACATAGACAGACTCATACTCAAAGACACATGTAAAGGGAATAGTGGGGAGGGGGGGCAGGTTACAAGAGCGAGTAGGTGATAGAGAGGCAGGGGTCCCAAAGACAGTAATGTTGTGAGGACAAGATCATAGGTCAGGAAAGATCAAGGTGGGACACGCAAAGTGAGGGAGGGGAGAGCGGTGACAGGGATATTGTGATGAGACGCGGGGGGGCAAAACACATAAAAGAGAGGAATAAAAAAAAAAGAAAATTCCGGTGAGAAATTTGTGACGAAACCGCGTGGAGGGCAAGCAAGAGTAGATATACAGATAGATAACGTCATATATATATATATATATGCATATATAAGGGTGTTTAAACATAGATGAATAGATACGTAAATAGCTAAAGAAGTCAGTAGAAAGGAGAGAGTGTTTAAGGCAAACAGGACGGGGAAGTGTGCTAATAGAGCATAAAATGATAAAATAATTGGTAATATGTTATTATTAAATATAATTACTTCCGGGGCAATAGGTGTAAACTGAAATAATTAACGATATTGAAATAAGTATTTATATATTCATATGAAAATATGAGAAAAAATAATCATGCGTCAAAGTGCTGGACTAACCACTTCATGTGGCACCAAATCAACCTTTTGGCCTTTTGTGTATGCTCTGGCCTTCTTTATGTGTATATAAGCACCTTCATATATACACATATACATGTGCCTGTGTGCGTGTGTGTATGTGTATGTGAACATAATACAACAGATTATCATGTGCGGTATGGTGGCCGGGGTGAGTGGAAGGCAAATGAGAAAGGAGTGGGAGGGGATTAGGTGAACTGGGTTCTTCAAAGGCAAAAAATTCGAGTATAGCGACCATTTTGGCAGTCGTCTGCATGTCAGAGTGTGAAAAGCATGCCGCGCTCTTTTTGACACACTTTGGGCTCGCCTAGACGACTAGACCTTTGAGTCCTCCCAACATGTTGCAGCAGAGCCACGCCTGTAAGCTGGACTACGCCAGAGTCTGGCAACAGAGAGCTGGCAACCAAAAGCTATCCCAGAAAGTGACGACGTCCACACGTCCTACATACACAGTCAGCCTATTTCCGAAAGGTGTGAAACTAGCCCGATGCCTCACGGCGTTTCTTCCACGAAGAGACATTTTGGCCCAAATCCATATCCCTTATGCTGTTATGCATTCATGTACACATGCCCATGTGCCAATGGGAGAGGTCATCTCGTGTCGATTGTCGCCAGGGCTCTGGAGGGTCATTTTGGTGACTTGCTCAGCTGAAGGAGACAAATGCCACGGCAGGAATGCCTTGAAGGCGACTAGATCATCATCATCATCACCAGACTAATCATCATTAGTGTTATTATTATCAATCATCCTGATCATCACAAGCGTCGTCACCCTTATCAGCATTATTATTATCATCAGCATCGT